GGGAGAAGTAAGCAGGGCTTTCTCCTCAAAGTCTTCCATGAATATGTCGGCGACAATGGGAGATACAGGTGAGCCCATCGCCACACCATCTACTTGCTTGTAGAACTCCTCCTTCCACAATAGGTAGCCAGATGTAAGGCAGTGTCTGAGTAATACTGCATATTCTACGGGCATGTTGTTTTCTTCCAGCCTTCTAGTTACAATTGAGATGCAGTCTTCAACAGGTAAGCATGTAAACAATGACTGCACATCAAAACTGACCATAGTTTCATTGTCTGCCAGACGTAGGTCTTTAATCTCGCTGACAAAATGGTAGGAATCCTTTATGTGTGCTCTTGTATGTCCCTTGAGCGGTGAGAGTATTTTCGCTAAGTGTTGAGCCAATCTGTAAGTTGGTGAATCGATTTGGCTCACTATGGGGCGTAATGGAGCATTGGGCTTGTGTATTTTTGGTAACCCATACAACTTTGGTGATTTGGCGCACGTAGGTATTATCCATTTTACGTCCAGATTTAATTTTTCGGAGTGTTTCTTTATGAGGTCACTAGTTGTTTTTAGTGTGCTGTTTGTTGGGTCGTTTTTAACCTTTTTTATAAGTACTCACATCCGACAAAAAGTTCTTGTATTTTAGAATTATAATCTGACGTATCCATGACCACCGTGGCGTTTCCCTTATCTGCGCGGAGAATCGTAAGTTCTGGTTTATTGCGTAGGTTCTTTAACGCTATAAATTCGTCTCTGGGAAGATTCGGTTTAGGCACTGAACATCGACGTAACATAGACGAAATGTCTTGACGTATCGCCTCCAAATCTTCTTTCCGCATATTGTTTTTAAATAAACAGTCCTCGACACTACAGATAATTTCTTCGTACGGTAATCTGCTTGGAGTTATAGCATAATTTAGTCCTTTGGATAACACCTTTATTGTTGCATCATCCAGTGTTTGTTTTGACAGATTATAGAACGCGATTAATCTATGATCTGTGTTTGTCAATGGTTGCTTTTGGTTCTGGCATTGATTCGGATGTTTGACATTTGATTTGGCCGTTAATTTTTGATATTTTTCTATATGTTTGTTTTTGCATTCGTTATATTTACTAATTTCGCGTTTATTTAATAATAACGAAAATACTCTCACCGCTCAAGGGACATACAAGAGCACACATAAAGGATTCCTACCATTTTGTCAGCGAGATTAAAGACCTACGTCTGGCAGACAATGAAACTATGGTCAGTTTTGATGTGCAGTCATTGTTTACATGCTTACCTGTTGAAGACTGCATCTCAATTGTAACTAGAAGGCTGGAAGAAAACAACATGCCCATAGAATATGCAGTATTACTCAGACACTGCCTTACATCTGGCTACCTATTGTGGAAGGAGGAGTTCTACAAGCAAGTAGATGGTGTGGCGATGGGCTCACCTGTATCTCCCATTGTCGCCGACATATTCATGGAAGACTTTGAGGAGAAAGCCCTGCTTACTTCTCCCATAAATCCAAGATTCTACAAGCGGTACGTAGACGACACTTTCACAATTCTACCTTTAGATAAAGTAACTGCATTTTTAGACCATCTTAACTCCATAAATACTAAAATTCAGTTCACAATGGAGTTAGAGGCAAACAATTCCTTAGCTTTTCTAGATGTGTTAGTAATTCGGAATCCTGATAACACCTTGAGCCATACTGTGTATAGAAAAAAGACCCATACAGATAGATATTTAAACGGTGATTCTCACCACCATCCTTCACAGTTAGCTACCGTGGGTAAATCTTTGTTTCAGAGAGCACGAGGGATCTGTGACAGTAAACACCTGGCTGCCGAGCTCCAACATGTCAAGCAAGTTTTGCATGACAACAAGCTTCGGGTCCCGCGCCTACGTCACAGAGAACGAGTGAAGCCGGCCACAGTCGAGCGTGTACCTGCTGTACTGCCATATGTTAGAGGAGTCACTGACAAGATTGGCTACATCTTGAAGCGCGCTTCCATCAAAACATACTTCAAGCCGCCGAAGAAGATTGGTCAGTTTTTACCATCAGTCAAGTGTAACGTCCCTCTGCAAGATGCAGGAGTGTACAAGCTTGATTGTGAATGTGGTCTCTCCTACATAGGACAAACTAAAAGATCAATTAAAACCCGCGTCAAAGAACATATAGCTGATGTGAAGAATCGACGCTCCGGGAAGTCTGCAGTCTGTGAACATGTACAGGATCGCCCCCGTCACTACATCAGATTTGATAGACCACAAATCCTCGCTAAAGAACACCGATTCCTTCCAAGGATGATTCGCGAGGCTATTGAAATCAAAAAACATCCTAATTTCAATAGAGAAGATGGCTGGGTGCTACCATCTGCTTGGGATCCTATAATAAATAAAATTAAATCCCAACCCAAACATACAACTGCAAGACTCCATGATACCATAAGTTCATACTGTGTAGATCGGAACAAAAGTTAAATTTTAATCTATGGTAACCGCGGTTAACTATGACAGCTGGACGTTGAACATCTCAGTCCTTCCCGTGACCATGGGTGCTGTAAAGCTCTCGAAACGTCGGGTAAAAAAGTTAAATATACGCGATAAATTCCGTAAAAATTAGTATTATTTCAAAGAAGAGAATAGGTCTTCAAGAAGACAGTCTTTTGTGGCGAAAAATGAACCCCAAATATTTTGAACTTTACAGAGCTGTGCGCCAGTATCTTTCAGCCCCTCCATCAAGTATCCCCAGTGAGCGCCTTTTTCAGTGGCGCTGGATTAGTTTACGACGAATTACGAAACCGTCTATCTAGAGAAACGGCTTCAAAGTTAATTTTCGTTAAATTCAACCTCCCCCTATTATGAATTTTGACTATTAAATTGTCTTTTTTTCTTTCTAAATATTAAAGGGCCCATTCGCAATCTTTCTTTTATTTAAAATTTCAATTCCAAATCACAGGTTCTATATTCCGCATCCTCTTCCTCATCCTCATCCTCCTCCTCATATCCTCATCCTCTTCCTCTTCCTCAAAACGTATTTTTAATAGTTCCTCATCCGCATCCTCTTCCTCATAACCACTTCCTCATCGACCCTAATTGAGAGAAGCAATAATTTCATTCATAAGGAAATTCAAGGGTGTTGAATCGCACTACTGCGGATCGAAAAGTCGGTGTACTTATTTGCCATCAGAATTGAGCATTGCATCAATGTTTAAAATGTTCATTGAAGAAAATCCTCAGTACTCTCATTGCAAAGAGTCATATTTCAGAAGAATATTTAATACGAAATTTAACATAAGCTTTAGTCATCCAAGAAGTGATGTGTGTTCCACTTGCCTAGAATTGAAAGAAAAAATGAAAATTGAGAAGGACGATTCAGCTTTTTTTTTATAGAAGAAGGGGCAAACGAGCATGTGGCTCACCTGATGTTAAGTGACTACCGCCGCCCATGATCAACCGCAACACCAGGAGAATTGCGGGTGCGTTACCGGCCCTTTAGAAAGGAGTAAGCTCTTTTCTTGAAGGTCCCCAGGTCGTATCGGTCCGGAAAAATCGCCGGTGGTAAACTATTCCACAGAGAGGTTGTACGTGGAAGAAAACTCCTTGTGAAACGTACAGTGGTGGACCGCCAAGCATCCAAATGGTGTGGATGGTATCGGGACGTTTGACGTGTAGTGCGTGCACGAAATTTGGCGGCTGGGATTAATCCGAACAATTCCTCAGAGCACTCCCCGTGGTATATGCGGAAGAAAATGCAAAGAGATGCAACATCTCTTCGCAGCGCCAGTGATGAATCGAGCCGATCGGAAAGCACTCGTTCGTCGACGATTCGAGCCGCTCTGCGCTGGATGCAGTCAAGTGGAAGAAGCTGGTACTGGGAGCCCCAGCCCAGAGATGGGAACAGTATTCCATGTGCGGCCGAACCTGCGCCTTGTAAAGTTGCAGGCGGTGTGCCGGCATGAAATACTGTCCCGCTCTGCTGAGCACGCCAAGCTTTTTAGAGGCCAATTTGGCCTTCCCTTCCAAGTGACCACGAAACTGCACGTCACTCGATATGTCGACGCCGAGGATTCCGATACTGGCTGAGGCAACAAGGGGAGTGCCTTGAAACTGAGGGGATACGACAAAGGGGTTCTTTTTAGCGGTTAACGCGCAAACTTGTGTCTTCTGGGGGTTAAACTGGACTAGATTTAGTCGCCCCCAATCCGAGACTCTGTCCAGCAGAGACTCGACTTCAGACACAAGTTTGTCCCGGCACTCGGAGACGTTTTCCCGAGAAATATTGGCTCGGCCGGTGTAAGGAGCATTACCAGTGCTGTCATCTGCATAGCAATGAATGTTACGGGTATGCAAAAAAAGGAAATCATTTTTCAACTTCCTGGCAGACACCGACCCCAAACTAAAAATATTATCGTTTGATTGTGGTAAAAACCAATTATTACCAAAAGTCCCCGACCAAACCTCATATTATTCCCGCCAGCTGTACTTATACAACTACACAATAGTTTTAGGGCATTCCCATGCAGATCTGACCAAAGAAAATGTGTTTTCTTACGTGACCGAAGATGTTCATGGAAAAGGGTCAAATGAACTATCTAGTGCACTGTATCACTGCTTACAAAATAATTTAGATCTGACTGGTGTAGAGGTACTCCGATTAATGGCTGATGGGTGCTCTGCACAAAACAAAAACTCAACCATGATAGGGATGATTTCAAAATGGTTTAGCAGTTTGCACCAAGGTCACTAAAAAAGGTAGAACTCATTTTCCCCGTAACGGGCCATTCATTTATTCCCCCCGATAGTGTTTGGTGTTGCTGAAAAAGAAATACCATTGTGCAACCGCATGAGTATGTTGACATTATAAAAAAACAAGCAACTGTTTTTCATCTGAAGGACATAGTCTCCTACACCTACTCACGAGGTAAGTGATTGGAAGACAGCAAGCTAAAAAATCCATAAAGGAACCCAGTCCTTACATTTCAAAATAATGTCTTGCAAGAGGTTCCTATTCACAAGAATGAAAGGAGAACCTCGAGGAGTTATAGTAAGAGGTGAAACATTTTACCACAATGATACCGGCGCTCGACGTTCTATTACTAAACCCAGAAAATACTCTTCAAACATATTACCAGAACCTATCACCGCCTCCCCAAGAGTAAAAAAAATTGAAGACGTAGATAATTTGCTAACAAAACACTTTGGAAAAGAGTGGAGACAAAGAGAGGACCTCAACTATTATAGACAATTAAGAAATAATGCGGATGCTGATACTAATGATGATAACGTAGAGGAGGCATTGTTGTGTGAAGAATATGCTGAAGAACCTTGTGTTAGCGATATGATTTAGGCTAGTTTTTTAGATGTTAAGGGTAATATATATATATATGCATATCGTGTTTTATTTAAGTATCTAAAAAGCACAATCGTTTCTTTTGATATACTTTAGTACGAATGGACAACCCTAACGTAATCGTTAGTTGGATTGTTCAAAAGTAGTCAAATCCTAACAGTTACTTACAAAATTGGTCTAATCCGATTCGCTTTCAGCCAAACGTGGTCAAATCTACACCTTGCAAACAAAAATAGTGAAATCCAGTATTTAATCGTGTTTTTCTCCGTAAATACAAGCATTAACTCGATTTGTATTATCTTTCAATAATCCTGAACCACAACACTGTAATCTATAGTTACCACTCTAAGCATCACTACGGAGGCCATCATGGCGGTACAAAGAAGTCATGTTTTCTCAATTTGGCATAAAGTGGACTTTAATACTATTGAAAATTACCTCCTGACCTTATGATAAAGGTATTTTGTTTTTTTTTATAGTACTACCCGCCCACTGTACAATTTTTTGTTTAAGCTCTTCAAATTTTTTTCTTATCTTTCCACAACTAGTTTCACATGTCAAAATTACTTGATTAGTCTATTTTGGCTATGTTATCAATGCCGTCAACCAAAATAGTGAAATGTCAAAACCAGCTGCGACGAAAGAGGAAACATGCTGCGGCCTAGTACTAAAAGTCAGTTTAGTCTGAAAATACAAATTTAATCACTACTTTTCCCACATAACTGTTAGTGTTATTATATTATAAACTTAAAGGTATAAATAGTACACGCTATTAATAATTTTTGTGACAGTATTAGTTGTAGCCAATTTACAGACATAAATTATTTTGTGCAATTTTTTGTACATTGCTTTGCAGCAAATTTGCAGTATCAAATATTCGGTTTCTGTTTATAATTTAGTGTTTTTGTTTTTTCTTTAGGATCTTACTGAAAAGGACATTCTTCATGGTCTTAATGACTCAGAATATAAGTCAATCTCGGAAGATGACCCTTTTGAAGATATTGAGACGGATAATAAGGCCTGCCTAATAACTAGAGGAATCTTCAAGTTCTTCCTGTGAAGATGAAGTCCCGGTTAATGAAGATGACAATGAGGTAATACCATATGATTCTCCCGCTCCTCGTCATACTTGGCTGTAGTCGGGGAAGAAATATTAGCTCTTGTGGAAGAAGCATTTGCAGAAGTCAAAGCCCAGAATGTGGTCGGGTAAGATGTGAAAACAATTCCATTGCACGTTATAAATCCTTTAATGGTGAATTTAAGACTAAAGAGTTTGCTCCTATGCCTCCACAACTTTCTGCACCATCACCCTCACCACCATCACCTGCCGGTAAATACTACCGATTATGACTATTCACAATATTTTAGTCAGTACATTGATGATAACCTTGCTTACTACTTGGTAATAATAATAATAATAATAAAATAAATGGTGAGTTCCTTTAGTGGTAGACTGTATGCCACATAATAGATAAGTATCTTTCTTTTGAGAACTGCGTTGAAGATTGTATTTGATATCCCGATCCCAATGTCAGTCAAGAGCAAAAAGCAAAGATAAACTGTGGAAGGAACAAACAAGAGTCCATGATAGACCTTTGATCGAGAGAGTACACTGCAAGGATGCCACAAGCAAATACGAGACCAACACATTTCCTTAGATGAAATGATAATTCCGTTTTCTGGCAGCTGCGGTGTTAGACAGCATTGCCCAAATAAGCCATTCGTAGACAGCAAGGAGCATTGCACATGCCTCTCTTTGAAGGCATAGCAAACAGATGCCGTTTTCCTGGATGCAAGAAAAGAACTACTGCCAAATGCAGTACCTGCCTGTTGTTACAAAGCATTTCATGAGTAGTATAATTAATTTCAGTTTAGTTAGTTTTCAGTTATTTTGGTTGCAAGCTTGTACTGTATGTTTCCCTTAAAAAGCAAATAAATAAATAAAAAGTATAATTAAAGTTCTTAAAAGATCTCACTAGGTACTGTTAAGATAATGTTTTTTAGTTATATCAAGTAAAATGTTTTTATTATTAATGGCCTGAACCTGAAGAGTCTGATGTTTTCCAAAGATGATTAAATATTGTAATTGTGATATTATAAAAACTAGTTCAAATGCCTTATGAGAATGTAGCAAGTTTAAAGATTTTTAAACTGAAGTGTTTCATACTATGTTTGATATTTTTTTTAAATTTCATTAATAAATCTTAAAATTTACAATTATCATTTTTTATTTACTAGAGAAAATATTGAACATTGGGTCACGACCCAATATTCAATATTTTGTACAAAAGATAGAACGACATAAGTTAACCAAAAATGCACCTTGGATACCTAATAGTAAACTTCAAAAAAAAAAAGAAGTTTTATGTCTCTGGGTCTGACAGCAATAAATTTGTGCATATATTTGTACAGTGGGTTATACGACTATTTTATTATTTCAAGTCTGGGTCTTAAGAGGACAAAGCCAAACATGTTGGTTATTACGATGTTAAGATTAGTAACAAATTTTTAAGTACCTATAATAAACAAATAACTTTGTTTTTAAATATTAGCTGTTAATTCACTTGTGGAATATTATCCCACTTCCCTTGAGGTAACGATTTTTACAAATTACGTACACTCGTTATTACTAAAAATAACAAGTATTTTATATTTAATCCATATTCAAACTACACTAAATACTTTCATTTTTTCTAAAAGATAATACCATAGATTACTGACTATGGATAATACAATCACAAGGCCCGGTCAACTCTGTATAGACCGTAGACAGAGAAACTCTAGACAGAGAAACTCTGTCTACGGTATGGACAGAATGAAATACCTACAGGGGCTGAATTTTATTATTGCCATTTGTCAGATAAATGTCTTGTTTTATAATTAGTAAGATTTTTCTAAAGATAAATTACAATCAAACATTTTGAATATAGAAATAATAATCCATAACTATGCCTGTCGTATTTTTCTACATTATTATATTAGCATATCCTTGACAGTAAAAGAAAAATAAATGTTTGCTTTTTGTTTTGATTTTCAATGAGTAGAAAATTATATTTTTTACTGGTAGCACCAAAATATCTAAATGAGTAATTTCTCTGTCTACGAGTATATAATTCTCATTTCTCAAAATATGTCGCCGCCGTATAAATTATTGTTGTTCATGATCGGTTGTTATATTTGTTTTGCTTGTGTCTTTTTCTAAGATTTTGCAAGTTTACGATGTTGAGTTGAGATTAATGTCCTTCGTTTATATGATGTGCAATGTGTTAGTCAATGATTCGTAGTGAAATACGAAATAGTGACTCTAAAAACTACGCTGCAATGGCGAATAAAGAAAATAGAAAAAGTGTTCTAAGTGCAACAGCTTACCAACCATTGACAACAATAAATTATTTAGGTTTCCGAAACCCGCAGTAAAGTATATTTTGCGGTACGTATACAATATACATATACACTATTTAATAAGTTCTAACCTTAAAGTAAATCTCTTGTCCAACTTATTGTTTCTCTTTAACCATTTAAAAACAAATTATCTGTTTGTAAACCATTAGACCTACTTTAATAATAATTGTATTTAATAATTATATCTTTTGTTTTCAGCTGTAAGTTGTGGGCGAAATATTATATTCCTTCCCAAGAGCAGTATACTACTTCAGCTTTCCAGACAAAGCTACATAATAAGCCCAGAATGCTGTGTGAAAAACATTTTCATGATGGTTAATTTAATGATGCAACCAAGAAAAAGCTCTTAAGAACTGCATTCCCATGTGATGTAAGTAAAGTGTATAATGTATATGGTAATATGGTATGTATATAGTTTTCTTTAAGGATTACTCAGATATTTTATATGGGGATTACTATATTCACTATATTATTTTATACTATATGGACTTTGATAGACAGTAATGAAGATGATGATGATTATTCATATGACGATCATCTGGATCTAACATGGATGGACAGACCACATACAGTAGATTGAATCCTGTAAATGCTTTAAATTAATTTATAATAATTGAACGGACAAGGCATCCAAAGGATTGAAGTCTATAACTCTATAAAGTTAACACAAGCCCTTCCTTACATTATTAAAATTGCAACACACTGCATATTATTTTTAACAATCAAATATTTTTTTAAAACAACAACAAACCTTAAGAAAGTTCAAGCATCACAATCTATGAATAATTACATTTCGTCCTAAACCTATAAGGCACAACTTGTACAACACAGTAGAAATACATGCATCGAATGGTTCTCAAATAATAGATAAACACTAGACTTCTTTTCACATAGTTATTGGGTGGGTGTATTATAGAGCAAGTTGGATGAACAAGATCCATTCATTTATTTTGTATTGGTAGAAGGGTAACGTAGTGCCACAAGCAGGGACTGGTTTACTATGAAAGTAATGTCAGTGAATATAATGTTAATTTAATTTTATATAATAATTTTATGATACTATAATTTATTTCAGTTTTTATTTATTTCCAGACTAACAAAGTGTATTCCCATTTTATTTTGTGGAATCACAAGCTGGCTCCTAGCAAATTATTGCTGCAAAGCCAAAAGCAGGATCTTCAAAAAGGACAACATTATATCCACTGAAGAACAACCACAAACATCAAAGCATAACAGATAACGTTGAACCTGAAAAAAGAAAGTACTCTATATGAATTTTTTTTTAAATTATATAAGGAATATTTTTGTAATCTAATATTTAATATGTTTTATAATTTTTAATTAAAATTATTCTATTTATAAGCTCATTCAATACTTAATATATTGCATATAATATAGAGAAAAAATTTTTAGTGTCAATTCAGGGAAATTTTATATGTGATAGAGCCATGCTGCAGTTATATTAGAAGTATAGTTGTGGCACGAATGGGTCAGCTCGACCGGGGAAGGATCACGCTCTCACAGAATACCAGTGTGAAATAGTAGCTTAATGCTGCTGTATCGGGATTTAGAAAGGGAATGGGATGTACAGATCAAGTCTTCTCCGTGCGCATGATCGTGGAGAAGTTTTTTGGCCAAAAACCAAAAGGTTTTTTGCGCGTTCATGGACTTGGAGAAGACCTATGACAGAGTGGATAGGAATGTGCTATGGCAAACACTGAACTCATTTGGGTTGAGCGCTGGCTTGATACAGGCATTGGAATCTCTTTATAGGGACTATAGTGCTTGTGTTAGGATGAACGGGGTCTACTCGGACTGGTTTGGCATCCATAAAGGTGTCAGACAGGGCTGTGTGGCTTCCCCGTGGTTGTTCAACCTATTTATGGACAGTTGTTTGCAAAATTTGAAAGTTGAAGAATGCGGATTAAGAATGGGTGAGTTAACCATCAAATGCCTTTTGTACGCCGATGATCAAGTTATTCTTGCGTCGTCGGCGGCTGAGTTGCAAATGATGGTTACATTAATGAACAGATCATTAAAAGAAAGGGGTATGAAAGTGAACGCAAGTAAGACAAAAATTATGGTTTTTCAAAGAGATGAAAGTAAAACGATATGTGAAATAAGAATAGAAGGGGAGTTGATCGAGCAAGTAGATGAGTTTGTATATTTGGGTTGCGTATTTAGCAGGGATGGGAGATATGATAAGGATATAGAACGACGAGTGAACGCAGGAAACAGAGTAAATGGAGCCCTGCACTCTATTGTGAAGAGTCAAAATGTGTCGAAAAAGGCACGTATGGCAATTCACAATGCTGTGTTGGTCCCTACTTTAACGTATGGTAGTGAAAGTTGGGTGTGGCAGAAGAAGCACGAGAGTAGAATAAATGCAGTAGAAATGCGGTCGTTAAGGAGTATGCTAGGGCTGAATCTGAATGACAGGGTGAAAAATTGTGTGATAGGAGAGGAGTGTGGTTTGCAAGATGATGTTGTGACCAGGATTGGGAAGGGAATGCTTCGGTGGTTTGGTCATGTGGAAAGAATGGATGAGGAAAGAGTGACAAAGAAAATTTATGTTGCAGAAGTGAATGGCAGAGTCGGAAAGGGACGTCCTAGGCGAAAATTTATCGACCAAATTGGCGATTTATTGAAAACGGGCCA